ATTTGTTGAATAGAGTAGTCCTTTTCCCACTTTATGCTTTGGTTTGCTTAGTCAAAGATCAGTCGGCTGTAAGTATTTGGCTTTATTTCTGGATTATCTGTTCTGTTCCGTTGATCTATGTGCCTATTTTTATACCAATACCATGTTGTTTTGGTGCCTATAGCCTTGTAGTACAGTTTGAAGTCAGGCAATGTGATGCCTCCAAATTTATTCTTTGTGCTTAGCCTTGCTTTGGCTATGCAGGCTCTTTTCTTGGTTCCATATGTATTTTAGGATTTTTTTCCAGTTCTGTGAAGAATGATGATGGTATTTTGATGGAAATTGCATTAAATTTGTAGATTGCTTTTGGCAGTATGGTTATTTTCACAATGTTAATTCTACCTATTCATGAGCATGGGATGTGTTTGCATTTGTTTGTGTCATCTATGATTTCTTTCAGCAATATTTTGCAATTTTACTTGCAGAAATCTTTTACCTCCTTGCTTAGGTGTATTCCTAAGTATTTTATATAGTTTTTGCAGCTATTGTAAAAGGGAGTTAGTTCTTGATTTGATTCTCGGCTTGGTTGCTATTGGTGTATAGCAGTGCTACTAATTTGTGTACATTGATTTTGTATCCTGAAACTTTACTGATTCATTTATCAGGCCTAGAAGCTTTTTAGATAAGTCTTTAGGGTTTTTCAGGTATATGATCATATCATCAGCAAACAGAGACAGTTTATCTCTTTACCAATTTGGATGCCCTTTATTTCTTTCTTTTGTCTGATTGCTCTCGCTAGGACTCCCAGTACTATGTTAAATGTAAGTGGTGGAAGTGGGCATCCTTGTCTTGTTCCAGTTCTCACAGGGAAAGCTTTCAACTTTTCCCCATTCAGTATAATGTTGGCTGTGGGTTTATCATAGTTGGCTTTTATTACTTTAAGGTATGTCCCTTCAATGCCGATTTTGCTGAGGGTTTTAATCATAAAGCAATGCTGGATTTTGTCAGATGCATTTTCTGCATATATTGAGATGATTATATGATATTTGTTTTAATTATGTTTATATGGTTTATCGCATTTATTGACTTTTGTATTTTAAACCATTCCTGCATCCCTAGTATAAAACCCACTTGGTTATGGTGGAATATATTTTGGATACGCTGTTGGAATCAGTTAGCTAGTATTTTATTGAGGATTTCTCCATCGATGTTCATCAGAGATATTGGTCTATAGTTTTCTTTCTTTGTTATGTCTTTCCTGGTTTGGGTATTAGGGTGATACTGGCTTCATAGAATGATTTGGAGAGAACTCCCTAAATCTGTATCTTTTGAAATGGTTTCAGTACTATTGGTACCAATCTTTATTTGAATGTCTGATAGACTGCAGCTGGAAATGCATCTGGTCCTGGATTTTTTTTTTGGCATTTTTTTAAATTACAATTTCAATCTCACTGCTTGTTATTGGTCTGTTCAGAGTTTCTATTTCTTCCTGGTTTACTTATTACCAGGAATTTATTATTATTATTACTATATTATTATTATTATTATTATTATTATTATTATTACTGAGACAGAGTCTTGCTCTGTCACCCAGACTGGAGTGCAGTAGCATGATCTCGGCTCACTGCAGCCTCCAATTCCCAGGTTCAAGCAATTCTCCCGCCTCAGCCTCCCGAGTAGCTGGGACTACAGATGCGAACCACCATGCCCAGCTAATGTTTACATTTTTAGTAAAGACAGGGTTTCACCATTTTGGCTAGGATGGTCTTTATCTCCTGACCTTGTGATCTGCATGGGTTTTTCTTTTCTGTTGCATCGTCAGGCTGCAAATTTTTCAAACTTACATGTTCTTCTCCTCTTGAATGCTTTCTATGTTCTTCTCCTCTTGAATGCTTTACCACTTAGACATTTCTTTCACCAATACCCTAAATCATCTCTTTCAAGTTCAAAGTTCCACAGATCTCTAGGGCAGGGGCAAAATGCCACCAGTGTCTTTGCTAAAGCATAGCAAGAGTGACCTTTACTCCATTTCCCATAAGTTCCTCATCTCCATCTGAGACCAACTCAGTCTGGACTTAATTGTCCATACCACTATCAGCATTTTGGTCAAAGCCATTCAACAAATCTCTGGGAAGTTCCAAATTTTCCCACATCTTCCTGTCTTCAGAGCCCTCCAAGTCTCTAGGAAGTTCCAAACTTTCCCACATTTTCCTGTCTTCTTCTGAGCCCTCCAAACTGTTCCAACCTCTGCCTGTTACCTGCTTGCAAAGCTGCTTCCACATTTCCGGGTATCCTTATAGCAGCACCCCACTACTTCAGAACCAATTTACTGTATTAGGTCCTTCTCACACTGCTATGAAGAAATACCAGAGACTGGGTTGGGAAGGCAGAGTGGACAGATTCTGTTCAAGGGGATTCCAGACCGTGCTGTGCTATGAAGCAGGTCAATGAGCTGAAAGAGAAGGGCAACAAGGCCCTGAGCACGGCAACATAGATGATGCCTTACAGTGCTACTCGGAAGCCATTAAGCTGGATCCCCACAACCACGTGCTCTACAGCAACTGTTCTTCCCCTTATGCCAAGAAAGGAGACTACCAGAAGGCTTACAAGGATGGCTGTAAGACCATGGACCTAAAAGCCTGACTGGGGCAACAGCTATTCACAAAAAGCAGCAGCTCTAGAGTTCTTAAACCGATTTGAAGAAGCCAAGCGAACCTATGAGGAGCACTTGAAACAGAGGCAAATAACCCTCAACTGAAAGAGGGTTTACAGAATATGGAGGCCAAGTTGGCAGAGAGAAAATTCATGAATGCTTTCAACATGTCCAATCTGTATCAGAAGTTGGAGAGTGATCCCAGGACAAGAACACTGCTCAGTGATTCTACCTATCGGGAGCTGATAGAGCAGCTACAAAACAAGCCTTCTGATCTGGGCAGCAAACTACAAGATCCCTGGATCATGACCACTCTCAGTGTCCTCCTTGAGGTCGATCTGGGCAGTACGGATGAGGAGGAACAGGTTGCAACACCTCCACCACCACCCCCTCCCAAAAAGGAGACCAAGCCAGAGCCAGAGGAAGAAGATCTTCCAGAGAAGAAGAAGCAGGCACTGAAAGAAAAAGAGCTGAAAAACAATGCCTACCAGAAGAAATACTGACCCAGCCTTGAAGCATTACGACAAAGTCAAGGAGCTGGACCCCAGCAATATGACTTACATTACCAATTAAGTAGTGGTATACTTTGAAAAGGGCGACTACAGTAAGTGCAGGGAGCCTTGTGGGAAGTCCATTTAAGTGGGAGAGAAAACAGAGAAAACCATCTACTGATTGCCAAAGCCTATGCTCGAATTGGCAATTCCTACTTCAAAGAAGAAAGGTACAAGGATGCCATCCATTTCTATAACAAGTCTCTTGCAGAGCACCAAACTCCAGATGTGCTCAAGAAATGCCAGCAGGCAGAGAAAATCCTGAAGGAGCAAGAACAGCTGGCCTGCGTAAACCTGGACCAGGCTTTGGAGGAGAAGAACAAAAGAAACTAGTGTTTTCAGAAAGGGAACTATCCCCAGGACCTGAAGCGTTATACAGAAACCATCAAAAGGAACCCGAAAGATGCCAGATTATACAGCAATCGAGCTGCCTGGAGTTCCGCCAAACTCCTGGAGTTCCAGCTGGCACTCAAGGACTGTGAGGAATGTATCCAGCTGGAGCCAAGGGTTCATCAAGGGTTATACACGGAAAGCCGCTGCCCTGGAAGCGATGAAGGACTACACCAAAGCGATGGATGTGTACCGGAAGGTGCTAGACCTGGACTCGAGCTGTAAGGAGGCGGCAGACGACTACTAGCGCTGTATGATGGTGCAGTACAACCGGCATCACAGCCCGGAAGAGGTGAAGCGAGGAGCCTTGGCCGACCCCAAGGTGCAGCAGCTCATGAGTGACATAGCCATGCGCCTTATCCTGGAACAGATGCAGAAGGACCCCCAGGCACTCAGCGAACACTTAAAGAATCTTGCAATCGCACAGAAGATCAGAAGCTGATGGATGTGGCTCTGATTGCAATTCGGTGATGACTTGTTCATCCCCGCTTCCCTTCGCCCTCTTGTGGAAAGAGGAGCGGGGACCGCAGCAAGCAGCACGGAGCGGAAGGGAGAGCAGGAGGAGAGAAGGCCTCATCTCTCTGTATTTATATATAAACCCAGGGAGGACACAGAGACTTGTACCTGGGCTGTTCGTGGAGCTGCTGCTCCCTCTGAGCCCTCCCAGCACATGTGTGGTGTCTTCACCACTGCCCTCGAGTCTCGTGTCTCCTTCCCCTGCTCCCAGTGGCTGTCTCGTCTGCTCTCCCATAGTTGGTTATTTTTTATTTTTGGGCAGTGGGCATGTATAGGGAGAAAAAGGGATTCTTCCCAGCCTCGGGTCCCAGCTGTCTCATGTTGTTTATTTCGAGTGCCCTTCTCCAATAAAACAAGCCAGTTGGGCTAGGTTATTAAAAACAAGAAAAGAAAAGAAGAAAAGAAAAGAAAAGAAAAAAGAAAAGAAAAAGGAAAGGGAAAAGAAAAGAAAAGAAAAGAAAAGAAAAGAGACCAGAGACTAGGTAACTTATAAAGAAAAGAGCTTTAAATGGCTCACAATTCTGCATTGCTGGGAAGGCCTCAGGAAACTAACAACCATGGCAGAAGGCAAAGCAAAAGCAGGAACATTCTTTACAAGGCAGCAGGACAGAGTGAGTGCAAGCAGGGGAAATACTAGATGCTTATAAAACCATCAGATCTTATAAGACTCACTCACTATTCATGAGAACAGCATGGAGGAAACTGCCCTCATAACCCAATTACCTCTACTTGGTCCTGCCCTTTTGGGGATTATGGGAATTATAATTCAAGATGAGATTTTGACTGGGGACACAGTCAAATCATATCAGGGTACCCTGCTTACTACCTGGTGATGTAATAATGTGTACTTCTAAGACCCTGTAACACTGAATTTACCTATATAACAAACTTGCACGTGTACTTCTGAACGTAAAAGTCATTTAGAAAAAAAAGACAAAAACACCGGGCATGGTGGCTCATGCCTATAATCTGAGCACTTTGGGAGGCTGAGGTGGGTGGATCACGAGGTCAAGAGATTGAGACCATCCTGGCCAACATGGTGAAACCCTATCTCTATTAAAAATACAAAAATTACCTGGGTGTGGTGGCACGTGCCTGTAGTCCCAGCTACTTGGCAAGCTGAGGCAAGAGAATCACTTCAGCCTGGGAGGCAGAGGATGCAGTGAGCCGAGATGGCATCACTGCACTCCAGCCTGGCAACAGAGTGAGACTCCGAAAAAAAAAATAATAAAAAATAAATAAATAAAATTTTAAAAGAGACAAAAACAACTACAGACTACAGACAATGTAAGCTTTACATTGGAGCTTAGCTATGCACTGACACAAAGCTTTCAACACATCAAAAATAATTGCATGTTGATTGGGTAAATGCGAATTGACTACCAAGGGTGGGTTTAACACTAGTGATCAGATTTCTGGTATACCTGCTATGATAGGTTGGAGAATCATATCTATATCTATCTATATATCTATATATCTATATCTATATCTATATCTATATCTATATACACACAGCAGAAGTCACAAGCTCATGTTCTCACAGGTACCTGGCAGGTAATATAAATGAGTGAAGCTGTCTGACGTAAGAAGAAATATCTTGACATGGGAAACAGTAGTTGATAAGGTTTGGCTCTGTGCCCCCACCCAAATCTACAATTATGGAATTGTAATCCCATAGTTTCCACATGTTGTGGGAGGGATCTGGTGGGAGATTATTTGAATCATGGGGGTGGTTTCCCCCATACTGTTCTCATGGTAGTGAATAAGTCTCACGAGTTCTGATGGTTTTTCAGGGGGTTCTGCTTGTGAATTCCTCTCGTTTTCTCTTGCCACCACCAGGTAAGAAGTGCCTTTCACCTTCTGCCATGATTCTGAGGCCTCTCCAGTCATGTGGAACTGTAAGTCCAAATTAAACCTCTTTTTTTTTTCCCAGTCTTGGGTATGCCTTTTTCAGCAGTGTGAAAATGGACTAAGAGAGTAAATTTTTATCAGCAGAGTCGGGTGCTGTTGAAAAGATACTCAAAAATGTGGAAGTGACTTTGAAACAGGGTAACAAGCAGAGGTTGAAACAGTTTGGAGGGCTCAGAAGAAGACAGGAAAATGTGGGAAAGTTTGGAACTTCTATAGAGAATTGTTAAATAGGTTTGCCAAAAATGCTATAGCAATATGGGCAATAAGGTAGAGGTTGAAGTGATCTCAGATGGAGATGAGGAACTTGTTGGGAACTGCAACAAAGGTGACTCTCGTTATGTTTTAGCAAGGAGACTGGTGGCATTTTGCCTCTGCCCTAGAGATTTGTGGAACTTTGAACTTGAGAGAGATGATTTAGGGTGTCCGGCGGAACAAATTTCTAAGCAGCAATGCATTCAAGAGGTGACTTGGGTGCTGTTAAAGGTATTTGGTTTTAAAAGGGAAGCAGAGCATAAAAGTTCAGAAAATTTGTAGCCTGACAATATGATAGAAAATAAAAACCGATTTTCTGAAAAGAAATTCAAGTTGGCTGCAGAAATTTGCATAAGTCATGAGGAGCCAAATGTTAATCCCCAAGTCAATAGGGAAAATGTCTCTAGGGCACGTCAGAGGTCTTCATGGCAGCCTTTCCCATCACAGGCCTGGAGACCTAGGAGAAAATGGTTTCATGGGCTGGGTCCAGGGACCCCATGCTGTGTGCAGTCTAGCAACTTGGTGCCCTGTGTCCCAGTCACTCTAGCCATGACTAAAAGGAGCCAAGGTACAGCTCGGGCTGTTGCTTCAGAGGGTGGAAGCCCCAAGCCTTAGCAGTGATCATGTGGTGTTGAGTTTGTGGGTGCACAGAAGTCAAGAATTGAGGTTTGGGAACCCCTGCCTAGAATTCAGAAGGTGTATGGAAACACCTGGATACCCAGGCAAAAGTTTGCTGCAGGGGTGGAGCCCTCATGGAGAACCTCTGCTCAAGCAGTGCAGAAGGGAAAGGTGAGATCAGAGCCCCGACATAGAGTCCCTATTGGAGCACCACTTAGTGAAGCTGTGAGAAGAGGGCCACCATCCTCCAGACCCAGAATGGTAGATCCATCATCGACAGCTTGCACTGTGCACCTGAAAAAGCCTCAGACAATCAACACCAGCCCATGAAAGCAACCAGGAGGGGGGATATACCCTGCAAAGCCACGGGAGCAGAGTTGCCCAAGACCATAGAAACCCACTTCTTGCATCAGCATGACCTGGACATGAGACCTGGTGTCAAAGGAGATCATTTTGGAGCTTTAAAATGTGACTGCCCCACTGGATTTTGGACTTGCATGAGCCCTGTAAACCCATTGTTTTGGCCAATTTCTCCCCTTTGGAATGGCTTTATTTACCTAATGCCTGTACTCCCTTTGTATCTATGAGGTAACTAACTTGTTTTTGATTTTACAGGCTCATAGGTGGAAGGGACTTGCCTTGTCTCAGATGAGACTTTGGACTATGCACTTTTGGGTTAATGCTGAAATAAGACTTTGGGGCACTGTTGGGAAAGCATGATTGCTTTTGAAATGTGAGGACATGAGATTTGGAGGGGCCAGGGTTGGAATGATATGGTTTGGCTCTGTGTCCCCACTCAAATCCCATCTCAAATTGTACTCCCATAATTGTCATGTGTTGTGGGAGGGACCAGGCAGGAGATAATTTGAATCATGGGGGCAATTTATCCCATACTGTTCTCATGGTAGTGAATAAATTTCATGAAATCTGATGGTTTGATCAGGGGTTTCTGCATTTGCATTCCTCTCATTTTCTCTTGCTGCTGCCATGTAAGAAGTGCCTTTCGCCTCTCACCGTGATTCTGAGGCTTCCCCAGCCATGTGGAACTGTAAGTCCAATTAGACCGCTTTTTCTTCCCAGTCTCGGGTATGTCTTTATCAGCAGTATGAAAATTGACTACTATGAAAGTGCTCTTCCACTTTCCTGCTTTTGACTGAGATACACCTACAGAAAGTTATTATTTTTTATTTTCCTTTCAAGTACTATAGGAAAAACAACTGTGCAAGAAAAACAAGAATTAACAACTGACATTTAAATTCAAATGTGTTTATGTGAAAGATGTGGCTATGTGTTGTCAGTTTGTAGCTTCTGATTTAGAGTGAAATGTAAAAATTGTTAGGTTATCCAGCCATTGTGATGTCAGGCACACAGCACCCTCTGTGAAGTACTGTTCCCAGGAAGTTGAATCTGAGTGTAACTAAGTCCCCAGAGTTAATTTTCATTTGTAAAAATAAGGAAGAAAGAGAAACTAAGAAGGACATAGACAAATCCAGAAAGTGGTATATCCATAAGAACAACTGTTGTGGTTTCTCTAACTAGTCAATGGCAGGGAAAATAAAGGTGAGAGAAGATACTGTTCTAGATTCACAAAGACCAAAGATTTATCAATTAAGTGGAATTTATAAATCTTGTTTCTGTCCTAATTTGAGCACACATTTTTAAATAACCAGGAATATTTACCTGTGGACAAGATATTAGATTATACAAAATAATAATACATATTTGTGAGACATATGTGATATTTTGATACATGCATACAATATATAATGATCAAATCAGGGTATTTACACTATCCATCACCTCAAACATTTGTCATTTTTTTGTGTTAGGAATACTTAAATCTTCTCTTCTAGCTGTTTTGAAATATACAATAAATTGTTATTAATGATAGTAATCCTGCTGTGGTGTTAAAGGTTAGAACTTATTCCTTTTATCTAACTGTATGTTTGTACCCATTAAGCAATCTTTTTCCATCTACCGTACCTTTCCCAGCCTCTGACAAGTATCACTCTACATTCTTACTCCATGAGATCCACTTTTCTAGCTCCCACATATGAGTGAAAATGTGTGATATTTGTCTTTTTATCCCTGGTTTATTTTACTTAACATAACGACCTCTAGTTCCATCAACATTGCTGCAAATGACAGGATTTCATAGTTTTCTAATGGCTGAA